CAATTTGGGATTTTCACTAATTTTTCTAATGATCCATCCTTCATCACTTTGCGTAAATATCTTATTAGGAGCATTCCGGCCCTTGTTATGCACTCGATTCTCATTCAAAAACCGCTCTATTATGTGCTGGACTGTAGAAGATGGAATATTTACCATCTCAGCTAAAGAACGCTGGCTTTTCCCAAGCTTAAAGTGATGAATAACTAATTCCCGTTGACTTTTGCTTTGCAAATAGGAACAAGCAAATCATATTACAACTACTGCAATTCAAACCCCCTCTAAGTCGGAAGCTCCAACAGATATTGATAACGAGCCAGGAAATTCAAGACAGCCGAACCGCTCCAACATTTGCGAAAATGTAGTGAAAAAAAGGCGGAAAAACTTGACTCGAGTTACAAGACCCAAAATAGAATTTGCCGGCAATAACGAAAAAAGATCTCCGTTTGGTTGCGAACGCAATATCAACATAAAATCACAGTAAGAGATAAATTTGTAATATTTTAAAATTTGTCGTTAGTTATTTTCGATATATATATATATTTTAGTAAAAGCTTGAATATTATAAAAAATATTCTGGTATAATACTTTGAAGTTTTGCATGAAATTGTCTTGTATAATATGTGTAGCGGCAAATGATGTCATCTGGAAACAGTTGTTATATTTCTAAATGTTGGCCAAGAAGTGCTTAGAATAATTTCCAATCTCAGAAACTAAAGAGCGTAAAGGATCTGGTGGAGGGACCAATTGTGGAAAGTTGACTTTTCCTCCAGCACAGCATAATCCAGTGGATTCAAAAGTATATTTTAACGCCTTACAATATTTAAGACAGTATTTATAAACAATTTATATATTTATTATAAACAGTTATATATTATTTATAAACAATCTTCATTTCCCCAGTTGTTACCGATTTGTCGGCACAATAATCAATTGCCGGATTATAGTGGAATACAGCTCGTTCAAGAATCACAGAAGCACTGCGTCTGCAGAATCGCTAAATTTCATTATGTCGTGCTTGCTGTTGTTGTGTTTGATGTGCACGAACTCGTTGCACTCTAAGCCTATTTACTTCATTCTTTATTCAATTCTGACATAGCAATACGACTATTTTCTTGATCTGTCTCTCTCTGGTCATCAGTGCGGTGAGGTAACTCTTCGCACATTTGATTGACTGCGACGATCTAAGTCAGGAGTTGAATCGTTACATCCGTGCACGAAAGATATTTACGTGATACGTCAATCGTATGCATTATGACATACGATAGCAAATAGATAGTATTTTCAASTCACAATTGTTTTTAAATTCCACATTGCTTTCGAAGTGGAAGTAGAAGTGGAATTGTCAACAAATGCTAAAT